TAGAAGAGCTTCTACAGCTCTTCTATGGATAGAAGAGCTTCTACAGCTCTTCTATGGATAGAAGAGCTTCTACAGCTCTTCTATGGATAGAAGAGCTTCTACAGCTCTTCTATGGATAGAAGAGCTTCTACAGCTCTTCTATGGATAGAAGAGCTTCTACAGCTCTTCTATGGATAGAAGAGCTTCTACAGCTCTTCTATGAATAGAAGAGCTTCTACAGCTCTTCTATGGATAGAAGAGCTTCTACAGGTCTTCTATGAATAGAAGACCTTCTACAGGCCTTCTATGGATAGAAGAGCTTCTACAGGTCTTCTATGAATAGAAGACCTTCTACAGGCCTTCTATGGATAGAAGACCTTCTACAGGCCTTCTATGGATAGAAGACCTTCTACAGGTCTTCTATGGAAAGAAGACCTTCTACAGGTCTTCTATGGACCTTCTGTGGGTCTTTTATGGGTAGAAGACCTTCTGTAGGTCTTTTATTGATAGAAGACCTTCTGTAGATTTTGTATATGAGACCTTCTAGAGATCTTCTATAGACCGAAGACCTTTTAAAGGTCTTCTATACATAAAGGTCTTCTATAGACCCTCTACAGGTCTTCTATGAATAGAAGACCGTCTACAGGTCTTCTATGGATGGAAGACTGTCTACAGATCTTCTATGGATCGAAGACCTTCTGTAGGACTTCTATGGATGGAAGACCTTCCACAGGTCTTCTATGGATAGAAGACCTTCCACAGGTCTTCTATGGATAGAAGACCTTCTGTAGATCTTCTATGGATAGGAGACCTTCTGTAGTTCGTCTATGGATAGAAGACCTTCTGTAGGTCGTCTATGGATAGAAGACCTTCTGTAGGTCGCCTATGGATGGAAGACCTTCTGTAGGTCGTCTATGGATAGAAGACCTTCTGTAGGTCGTCTATGGATAGAAGATCTTCTGTAGGTCGTCTATGGATAGAAGACTCTCTGTAGGTCGTCTATGGATAGAAGACCTTCTGTAGGTCTTCTATGGACAGAAGACCTTCTGTGCGTTTTCTACAGACATAAGAGCTGCCACAGGTCTTTTATGGATACAAGACATTGTTGGTCTTTTATGGTTAAAAGACCTTCTGCGGATCTTCTATGAATAGAAGATCTTCTAGGTCTTCCATTGATAGAAGACCTTCTGTAGGTCTTCTATGGATAGGTCTTCTATAAATAAAAGACCTTTTACAGGTCTTCTGTAGTTGCAACACCTTCTGTGGGTCTTCTATAAACAGGAGACCTTCTGCAGGTCTGCTGTAGAAAGGAGATCTTCTACAAGTATTCTTCTGCAGATGGCGAACCTTTTACTCTACTTTCATAATCTACTGAGGTTTTCTGTAATTTTTGTCTAATTTTGGTCGATTTGGTATATCTTTAAAATCTAAATCCGCAACTCTATCTCCCCGAACATTCCCACAAACGGACAAACAAGCGCTCACTCGCTAGGCCTTTGAATTTGCAACTAGTTGTTGGTGTATATCCTGTGGAAAATATTTGTGCAATTTCCATGTTCGGGGAATTATGTCCATTTACATGTGCCACACAATGGCGAGCTACACACACACATGCTAACACTCGTACACACTCACATGGAACATATTGTCAGGCCTTAGCATAAGTAATGTTGTAAAAGCCGTCTGGTCCTTTTTGTTGCAATGCATTTATCCCCGATGAATATTGCATGTGTGTGTGTGAATGTGTGTGGCAATGGCGAGCTTTGTCCGCTTTAACGTTCATTAAGCAACAACAAAAACAAAGTAAAAAAAAACAATAACAAAGAGGAAAACAAGCCGACAAACTGGGCGGACACTGACACTTGTAATTGAAATGAATTAAAAAAAAAACGGAGGAGAACAGAAACATTGACGATTTACTTTAACAACTGAAGCAATTATTAAAGCTATTTGATTTATACTTGTTCGATGGAACGGCGAACAAAAACAAATGAACAAAAACTCGGAAAATAACAACAGCTAGAATTTGTTGCAAGGATTTTGTTTGGTTTGTTTGTATTACAGCCATGTCGGTGTTGCAGTGTTGTTTACCCTGTAATCGCTTTTTTTGATGAAAGGTGTTCGTTCGATCGTTTGGTTTCTGTTCCAGAACATTTGTCTAAATGTTGTTTTAAATGACTCAAAATCAATTTTGTTACACTCAACTGAGCTTCGAAGCGATTAGAAGAATTATGGGGCGAAAATAACAACAATAAAAAAGAACAACATGGATTTAATTGGAAATAGCGACGCCTATTTCAGTGGGTGGAGGAAAATATGCTAGAGAACTTTGGATTTTGTGGGGGGGAGTATATCAAGATCTAAGGCTGAGCAACTGCAGCTGGTGAACAATGGATGGAAATATCAATAGTATCGAGACCTAATTTTTGAAGGGAGCAGTGATTTATAAGACGAAATGCCAATTATGGGAGGTCGGGGATTTTTTAAAGGATATTCCCTTTTTTTATTATTATTATTTTTTTGTTTTTAAAAAAAAATTGTGTATATTAGGGTGGTCTGAGGAAAACTGGAGACAAAATCTTGAAAATTTCCCATTGAAAATCCTTAATTTTTAGCCAGGATACCCTCGAAAAAAGCTCTTCAAAATAAAAGTCGTGAGGTCCTTAAAAAATCCTTAAAATCTACGAATCTAAATCGGGAAGTCCATTAAAATTTTTGAGATAAAATCTAAAATTTTTGTCACGAGATTCTTCAATTTTTTTAGGAAATTTTAGAAGAATTTAAAAAAACCAACCCTTTTGATAATGAGGTCCTTAAGAGTCGATGAAAAACAAAACAAAAAAAAAACAAAAAAAAAACAAAAACTTAAAAACTATCGACTATTGATGAGGTTTAATTTGAGATGGAAAACCTTCCACAGGTCTTCTTCATAGACAGAATACCTGCCACAGGACTTATATACACACAAGACTTCTGCAGGTCTTCTAGGAACAGAAGACGTTCTACAAACAGAAGACCTTTCAGAGGTTTGGACCTATGGAGCTTTCACGGGTAGACCTTCTGTAGACAGCCCTTCCACAGGTCTTCTGTAGATGGAATACCTTCTCGGGGGGTCACCCATAGACTGAAGAATTTCCACAAGTCTTCTATGGATAGATGACCTTCTACAGGTCTTCTAGTAACCGAAGATCTTCCAAAGGCCTTCTATGGACAGAAGATCTTTCAGAGGTCTTCTATAGACTGAAGATTCCTCCAGGTCTTCTATGGATAGAAAACCTTCCACAGGACTTTTATAGACAGAAGACCTTTTACAGGTCTTCTACAGACAGAAGACCATCTGCAGGTCTCCTATAGACAGGACAGGTCTACAGGATAAAAGGCCTTCTACTGGCCTTTATGAACAGAAAATCTTCTACAGGTCTTCGATAGGCAGTAGACTTTCCAGAGGTCTTCAATAGACAGAAGACCTCCTACAAGTCTGTCAGGTGTTTTAATAGACAGAAGATATTCTATAGGTCTTCCACACACAGAAGTTCTTCTACAGGTCTTCTATCGACAGAACACTTATTATATTTCTTCTATAGACAGTAGGCCTTCTACAGGTCTTCTATGGATAGAAGATCATCTAAACTACTTCTATGAATAGAAGATTTTCTACGGGTCTTCTATAGACAAAAGACCTTCTACAGGTCTTCTATGGACAGAAGATCTTCTAAGGTTCTGTATAGCCAGAAGACCTGCTACAGGCTTTCTATGGGTAGAATATCTTTACAGGTCCTTCTATACACAGAAGTCCTTCTGCAAGTATTCTATATACAGTAGACATTTTACCTGTCTTCTATGGACAAAAGGCTTTCCAAAAGCCTTCAGTAGTTGAAAGACCTTTTTTAGGTCTTCTGAAGATGGAAAACGACCTTTTAAGGATCACCTTTTACAGAAGACCTTCAACATATCTTCTATAGGCAGAAGACCTTCTAGAGGTCTTCCATAGACAGAAGACTTTCTGCAGGTCCTCTATAGGTAGAATAACTTATGCAGGTCTTCAATAGGCAGAATACCTTAAACCTGTCTTCTATGGACAAAAGGCCTTCCAGAGGCCTTCTATAGACATAAGACCTTCCAGAGGCCTTCTGTAGGTGACAGACCTTTTACAGGTCTTCGGTAGATGGGAATAGACCTTTGGCAGAAGACCTTCAAGAAGTCTTCCATAGACAGAAGACTTTAAACAGGTTCTCTATAGGTAGAAGAACTTCTACAGGTTTTCTATAGAAAGAAGACCATCTACAGGCCTTCTATAGATAGATGACCTTCTACAGGGTTCCATGGATAAAAGACCTTTTACAGGTTTTTATGTGCAGAAGATTTTCTACAGGTCGTCTATAGATAGAAGTCTTTCTACAGGTCTTCCATGGGCAGAATACCTTCTATAGGTCCTTTATAGACAGAAGACCGACAGGTCTTTTATGGATAGAAGACCTTCATCAGATCTTTTGTGGATAGAAGACCTTCATCAGATATTTTATGGATAGAAGACCTTTCTGCAGGTCTTCTATTGATAGAAGACCTTTTGCAGGTCTTGTATGACCTGTGAGCTCATCTACTCTACCATAGATGATCGGTGAGCTCATCTAATCTACCGTAGATGATCGGTGAGCTCATCTACTCTACCGTAGATGATCGGTGAGCTCATCTACTCTACCGTAGATGACCGGTGAGCTCATCTACTCTACCGGAGATGACCGGTGAGCTCATCTACTCTACCGGAGATGACCGGTGAGCTCATCTACTCTACAGTAAATGAGCTGTGAGCTCTTCTACTCTACCGTAGATGACCTGTGAGCTCATCTACTTTACCGTAGATGACCTTAGAGATCATTTACTCTACAGTAGATGGTCATTGAGCTTATCTACTTTACAGTAGATGACCATTAAATCATCCACTTGACCCTTAGACCCCCTAAATAGGCCCAATATGCAGTCTGGATATAATACTTGTGTATAATTCATGGGAAAAGACTCACCTGCATTGAACGACGACTCGAACCGCTATTCGACCTCGACAGCATTGGTGGCCGTCGTTTTGTGGCACCACGGCCCGCCAGCAAATTGTTGAGCAACGATGGTGAGCGAGCACAGATAAAGGCATGGAAAGAGGAAACCGTAAAAACGCCCAATTTGTTGAGAGTATTTTTGGTGGGGCGTGAGACATGGGTGAGCAAGGACTGCAAGGAGAAGAAATTTCACAAAATTACATTGATTATATGAAAACTTTAAAATCTTTTAAATTCGCCCCTTACCTTGGGATTTGGCAATTCGCCACTCTGCAGCGAGGCCATGTAGCAGCGCAAACGGAACTGTTCACAGTGTAAACGTTCTAAATTCTCTTCCCATTGCAGGATTTGACCTTGGATTTGGAGACGGGTATCCTGATCGGTGACCACAGATTGTTGCAATTCGGCCATGTGTTTCAGCTTGTGATCCTGTGAAGAGGGGTAAAGAAACAGGTGAGTAAGCTAACAATTTTACAACATTTCAACATTGATTTGAAACAAATTTTGTAACTCAAATGCAATTTTAACAAAGTTCCAAATAAACACACACTGTACACCATGTGTCCATGTGTTGGTGTGTCAGTGTGTGTGTGTGTGCGGTGTGCATGTGTGGCATATATTATTGTCGACATTGTATGCTTTTGTCATTATTTTCAACGCCCATTAGTTGGATATATTTTTGTTGTCGTCGTTTTGCTGCTGCTGCTGCTGCTTTTCTGGGTGTTTTGTTCATGCTTTCTGTGATGGCTTTTGTGTGTTGTTGCTGCTGTTGTATGCACAGCTAGAATATAGTATATTTTTGTCCCTACCCTTCCCTAGCTCGCCCTGGCTTTCTATGTTTGAATTTGTTTGTTCGCCTTGCTTTTGGCTGTTGCTGTGTTGTATACAAATCCATTTTGCCTTGCATTACACAAAGTAGATTTCAGTGCAGCAGCGATGGCAGGTGGCGGGTGGGTAGCAGCACCAGATGCCATAGCATCCTTTCATGGGTTCCCATGTAGGTGGCGTCCCCGCCCCCTGTATCTGTGTATGTGTTTGTTCATTTGCATGTCCTCCCAAAAAGCGTTGCATATGCTGACAACGATTCGTTGTCGTGTTTTTGATTCCTTTATGCCGTTCGTACTATCGCCACTGTCACCGAGATTTGTAATGCACACACACACACCCACACATTTGTTGGCCACACATAGTCAGTTAGGTCTGTCAAATACCTTTACCGAAACTTGCATGTGTACCCCCCACCGCTTCTCCTCCATTTTTTTCTACAATGTAAAATAACAAAAAACAACAACAACAACACAACTGAAAATAGCAACGAAATAAACAAGCAAATACAGATGTGTGTCATGAATTGACAATAAAAATATATAGGTGTGTATATTAGGGTTGCGAGAGGAAAAAAGGGGACAACATCTTAATTTTTTTTTCAAAAATCCTCAATTTATAACCAGAATGTCCTTAAAAAGTCTTTAAAAATGAAAGTATTTAAAACGTGAGGTGGTTAGGGAGTATATCACGTCTTAAGGCAGGGCAACTGGAGCTGCCAAACAATCGATGGCAATATAGATAGTATCGAGACTTAATTGTTGGATATTTTCGATATTTTGTATTTCAAGTTCGTAATGGATACTACAGCCTACGGCAGAAAATTGTCTATGCAGGTACATGTCTTCGTATAGCCTCCATATAACGATACCTCCCGATATTTGGTATTTTAATGATCTTAGGGACTCTTTTTAGCGGAATTGTTTCAAATTTCATAGTTGAGGTTCGTAATGGATACAACAGCCTATGGCAGAAAATTGTCTATGCAGGACCACGTATTCGTATAGCTCCCTGATAACGGTACCTCCCGATATTCGATATGTTTATAATTTTAGCGACACTTTTAAGCGGAATTGTTTTAAATTTCGGATTGGAACTTCGTAATGAAAGTCGTGAGATCCTTAAAAAATCCCTAAAATCTATGAATTTAAATCGGGAAGTCCTCGAAAAAAAATCTTAAAAATCTCTTTATTTTAAAAGAGGAAATTCTCGCCAAAGTTTATAAAAAAACGTCACAATTTATAGTATTGAGGTCCTGGAATTTTTCTCAGGTCTTGAAAATTTAAAAAAAAAAAAATAATTTTCGACCACAAGATCCTCAAAAAAGTCTTCTTTGAAATTTATAGCCAAGGAAGACTTTAGAAAAAAAATCTAACAAAATCCCCGACCATTGACCATGAAGTCTTTAAAAGATGCTTTAAAATCGGTCATGAGCTCCTTAATTTTTTTTCTAAAAAATCCACAGTAAAGTCCTTCAAAATCCTTAAAATTTTGATTTTTTTGGAAAGCCTTAAAAAAATTATTTTGATCTAGAAGGTCCTCGAAAGGGTTTTTTTTTAAAAAACCGCAATTTATAGTCCGGAAGTATTTGAAAAAATGTCTACAAAATTAACGATAATTGACCATGAAGTCCTTTAAAATAATGTTTTAAAAATTAAATCAAAAAATTGTCAAAAAAATAATAATAAATTAATTAAAAAATCACGATTTTTGTTCATGAGGTCCTTCAATTTTTTTTTCAAAAAAAAAAAAAATAAAATAAAATAAGCAGGAAAGTCCTTGAAAACCCTTAAAAATTATTATAGTCATTGGGAGTTTTTTTTTTTCAGGAAAGCCTAAAATTTGTTTTTGCCAATTTTTATTCTAAAAATCAACAGGAATGTTTTAAAAAACCTTAAAACATTAAAAAAATTAAAAAGCCGCAATTTATAGTCAGGAAGTATTTGAAAAAAATGTCTAAAAAATCAACAATAATTGCCCATGAAGTCCTTTAAAATAATGTTTTAAAATTTAAATCAGAAAATCCTCAAAAAAAAAAATATATATATATATTTAAATAAATAAATAAAAAATCACGATTTTTAGTCATGAGGTCCATAAATTTTTTTTTTCAAAAAAAAAAAAAAATAACAGGAAAGTTCTTGAAAGCCTTAAAGATTATAGTCATTGAAAGATTTTTTTCAGGAAAGCCAAAAAAGAAAGAATAAAAATTAAATTCGCAAACTACAGCCACGATGTCTTTAAAGAAAAAAAAATAACAATTCACGACCAAAAAATGCTTTAAAATCCGCGAATTTAAATCATAAAATCCTCGAAAAAAAATTAAAAAAAACTTTTTTTCATGAAAGCTTAAACAATTTAAAAAAATCGACCACGAGGTCCTCAAATATATGTATTCTTTAAAATTCGCAATTTATAGTGAGTAAGTCTTTGAAAAAAGCTCAAAAATTCACGACCATTGTCCTTAGAAAGTTCTTTAAAATCTGCGAACTTAAATCAGAAAATCCTCGAAATAAATTTCAAATAATAAGGTTTTTTTTTCAGGGGAGCCTAAAAAAAAAAAAAAAAAAAAATTTTCGATCACGAAGTTCTCAAATATGTCTTCTTTAAAATTCACATATAAGCATTCGGCCACAAGGTCCACAAAAATGCCTTAATTAAAATTCGCAAATTTTAGCCAGGAAATCTTTGAAAATATTCTTAAAATTTCAAGACCATTGACCATGAAGTCCTCAAGACGTCCTCGAAAAAATGTAAAAACACCCCAATTTTTAGTTAAGAGGTCCTAGGATTTTGTTTTCAAAAAAATCCACATTATTTAGCAGGGATCTCCTTTATAAATTCCCATATTTTTATATATTTATATTTTTGAATTTAATGTCCTTAAATATTTACGCCAGGAAGTCCTTGGAAAAAATCAATATTTTTCATATAATGGTGTCTTTAAACGTAATTTATATCACTTTTAGCGTGGAAATCACTGATTTTTTTTTTTAATTTCGTAGAAATTCCCAGTTTTTGATCGCGGGGTCCTTGAGTCTTTTTTTTTTCTTAAAAACCCGCGGTTTGTAAAATATATTTTTTATTTAAGATATTTTTAGTCTTTATTGTTGAAACATTTTCTGAAATTTCCACCTTCTGATTATGAGGTCCTTAAATATTCTCGAAGTCCTTGGAAAAATCGACATTGTTCGTGCCATTTTTTTGAAATATTATGGGGTCCTTGTAGAATATACACACATATCTACAATTTATAGCCTACAAATCCCAGAAATTTCTTGCAAAATTGCTAAAATTAATTTTGTTTAAAGAGTTGTTAATTTTTTATTATTATTTATTTTTCTAAGGATTTTTTAATATTTTTTGTTTAAACATTTTCTGAAATTTCCACTTGCGATTATAAGGACCTTAAATATTCCAGGAAGTCCTTGGAAGAATCGACTTATATTTTGCATATATTTAAATATAATATAATGTAGTCCTTGAAGAATTTTCATAAATATCTAAAATTTTTAGCCTGGAAGTCTCAGAAATTTCTTGCAAATTTTATGCAAATGTACAATTGTTGATCGCAAGGTCCTTGATTGTTTTTTCCTTAAAAAAATCCACGATTTGTAAAATTTATTTTTTCTAAAGATTTTTTTTTAAACATTTTTTGTTGTTGAAACATTTTCTGAAATTTCCACTAGCTATTTATAAGGTCCTTAAATATTTATTTTTATCCTGGACGACCTTGACCCTCTTAAATACAGTCAGATTTACAATGTTTTTCAAAGAAGTTCTTTAAAATATGTTCTTCAAAAACACGATTTTTTAAACAATACACAATTTTTTAACCAGGAAGTTCGTAAAAAAAACTTAAGAATTAGCGATTTTTGTTCATAATGTCCTGAATTTATTTTCCCAAAGTTCGGGAATTTTAATCATTGAAAAAAAAAAAAAAAATAAAAATTACAACTCATGATAGTGAAGTCCTTTAATTGTTTTTCATAAACAATTTTAGCAGGGAAGTCCTTGAACTAAAATTTTTAGAAATTAACTATTATTTTTTCGACTCGAAATTCTTAAAAATCAGATTTCGAAAATTTATGACTTTGCTTAAGATGTTCTTGAAAATAAAAAAAAAACATGAAAAATCTAAGGCTTTTGATCATGACATCCTCAAAAGAAAATAATCACCAGATTTTGGACAGTAAGTTCATCGGACTAACGTTTTCTTGTCTGGAAGTCCTTAATAGGTGTTGTTACAAAATCGAATCGTTTAAGCATGTCCTTGAAAATATTCTTAGAAATTTAGCTTAGGGGTCTTTTTGTATTTATGATTTTTGATTATGAAATCCCTCTTTGATTCTTCAAATTCAAATTCATTTGGTCTTCCAAAAAAAGTTTCTTGAAAACCCCGATTTTTTTGCCATGAAATCCTTAAAGCAATTCTTTGGAAACTCGCAATTTTGGATAATGAAGTTAAAAAACCAAAAGGTCATGATATTCTTAATTCCCGATAATGTCGACTAGTACTGGAAAAATTTCACAATCTGCTACTCGACAAGGTCGGGCCATAATGCATTGTATTTTTTTCTGATTTAGTTGCGATATAGTTCCAC